AGTGTCCTGTCAATCCTTAGCCATTTATTTCATCACTCCTTATGCTCGTGACATGGAGGAGTAACTGCTGAATTTTTCAACTATAAAAGTATCATGGTTTCTGCTTAAGCAAGCCCATAAGCAATACAAAAAACGTTTCAACCTATATTTAAAATGTAAAATAAAACAAGAATAGCTTGCACAGTAATATAGACATGATCTAAAATGATTTGCAGAAATTTTAGAATATGATAAGTAAATGAAATGTCAATAATTTTCCTTATAAGATAACAGTTTACTTAATATTTTAATAGAACTTCCTACCTAGTCATGAAATTTAGGCTTATAAATCTACCAATAGATAAAATTTTCACATGGTTAAATTAAAAAAATTATGTGATTTAATCAAATTCAAAGTTTCAACTTCTTTGTTTACATTCAAAGGAGAAAACTGGGAGTCTAGGAGTTTAGGTAACTTTCGCAAAGTCACAGACTTAGTAAGTACTAGAAGCAGGAAGAAATGGTTGAGGTTTGAGCAATCTTCTGACCAGTGTGGAGTTAGAGAAAAGTGAAATAATGTGAAAAGATCAGCAGGAGTCATAAAATATGAAGACTTATAAACCACAGTGAGCATATATAATTATTTGCAATTAATCGATTACAAGTCATTAAGACAAGTGCTGCAAAGAAAGAGTAAATAAATATATGGTAGGTAATACAGACAACATCACAGATTATTACAAGTTTCCAAGAAGACATATTTGAAATTTGTGTAGGTCTTTGATGGGTAGAGTAAGAAGCAAATACATTTAGAAATGGTGGAAAATGGGGGATGCAGGTGTGAAAGTACATGATCTATTACTGAAAGGAGAAGAACTATCTAAGACCATCTAAGGAGGGTTGGCCAGAGGTAAACGCAGAAAGGTAGATATTAGGTAGACTGACACAGGCCTGGAATCAAAGTTGTGAATTTTGGACTTTGTTTTATGGACAATGCAAAGCCTATTTAGATTCCTGGGAATTGTGTAAATGAGTAGTTTCAGGATGAGTATTATACAGGCAGAGTGAAGGACAGAAGGGCTTTGGAAGAAGAATGGGTAGCGAGGCTGGTTAGGTTGATACTGCAAGAAGGCAGGGATGAGTGTCCTTGTCCTTATGATTATTGTCTACTTGGGACCCCCCAAAATTAAAATCAATTAAAACAATAGGTGCTATGGATGCACTGGGAGTATCAAATGCTACCCCCAAAGCCTGTTTTAAAAACTTATTTTGAGTCACCAATTGAAAAAATATATGTAAATGAGAGAGCCAAGCCTGTACATAATACGTATTTAAACACTTTTTTGTGTACATGCGAGGTAGGGCAGGGACATGGGACAAGCCTCATGGTTAACTTTTCCTGCCTATGATGAAAAATGCTGAGAAATAAACAGTATCGTAAGAACAGGAAGGACTCCATCTTAAGGCTAAGATTCCATTTTAAAAAGCAGAGAGTTAAGAAGTAAAATTCCTAACATATTCTCTGGTAATCAGACAGTAATCAAACAGCCCACCTTAAGGCAGGGCGAGCAATCTTAACTGATATGTTCCCACTCTTTGAGGGTAACCACTATCTTGGAGAAGAACGGGATAAGTAAATTCCTAGTGTTAGGTTTATTTAGCAAAATTAGCTGGAAGACTAATAATAGAGGAAAGGAGACATGGTGTCTCTCACCAGAGATAAGCATCTTGAGACCACAAGTCAAACCTACACCCAACAACCTCCCCTCTGCCCTTTTTGAAAGACTTAAAAGGCAGAATCCCCAAACTTTCAGTGTGCCTCATCTCTGAGGACGCCCACACTTTCCTTTCTTCAAATGAGTACTTTCAAATAAAGTTTTCTCCCTGCTCCAATTACTGTAGTTTGTCTCTTTGCTATTTCATTTTATTTCCAAGTCTTCACTCTATCTCTGCTTTACTCTTAACAAGTAGGAAGAGGCTGCTAAGAGCTCAGATTTGGGCCTGTGTGTTTCCATCACCTGGGTGACCCAGATGAAACTGCAGCTGTGCGATCTGCTCTTAGTAGCCTACCTGAAAAGCTCCTTTCTTTGGAAAGTTCTCAAAACATAATCTCACTCCATCCTATTCTCTGTGGCTCCCCCAAATCCTGGAGTGGTAGGGGCGAGTCCCCATGCCATGCAGATCCAAGCAGACACAGGTAACCCAGACTTCAGGAGTTGGCAAGAGAATCTGCCCAGGCAGAGAACTTTCCCTCTTTCCCTCTGCACTTTCCTGTTCTCTTCTGCCCGCAAGGCAACTGGCATTCCCTGCTGCTCCTGCTTTAATGAGTTCCTTCTTTACCTACCCTCATCTGACCTGTTTGAGAATTCTTTCTTGTCCAGAGTCAAGAATCCTTACCCATCCAGGCTGGGGTTTCTCCTCATGTTTCACCTAGTGCACAGGGAGACACCTCTCCAGATGCAGCTACCAGGTAACACATGGACTACTACAAGGATTAGAATAGCTATATGTATTGCACAAAGGGTGTTGCAAAGATCAAATGAGACATGAAAGCTCTTGTAGTAAATGTTATGTAAATACAACTCAGTAATACTATATTTAATCCCTGTAGAAAGACTACGCTCTTTTTACATAATTCCTTAAAAAAAGTAATATTGCAACTGTGGGTAAAATTGCAGTATTTCCAGAATCTCTCACCTGGCCTTAGTGCATCTCCATATCAGTAGGGAGGAGAGAAGTAGTCCATCTTCATATCAATAGGTGATTACAAGGGGGAGAGAGGACCCGAGAGGTTGGGTGGGGTCCCTTTTTGCAGCTGGATTGCAAGTGACACAGGCAAGCAGAAGTGGATGACTGCTTGTAAGCAATAAATGAGATTCTCCCACTTTATTTCTCCCTTTGACTGATTTTGGTTTCAAAGGTATTTTGCCCAGGGCTGGGAACATATTCCCCCACCCCGGAGTTACATAAACTCATCTTAGACTTTGAAATATTGAAAAAAATAGATGTGGCTTTCTTTTTTATAGCTCTAGATATTTTTGGTCTGTGTGAGGGAGAGAAGCAGGGCAGTAAAGACAGAGAATAAAGAGGCTGCAGAGTCTACTGTTTTTCTCAGGCAAACCAAGTACAAAAAGTAAGGATGAGTCTTCCATCTAACCTGTATGCAATTTTCAAATCCCTTTAATTAAATTTATACAGCTGAATTCCCATGAAAAAATTATAATTATTTTTCTGTGGTATAGGAATTGATTTTTTTCTCAAGACTCTCATAATATCCTCATTTTCTTGGGAGACAATATTATTTACTGGAGAGAATGTGGTCTTTAGAGACACACAAACGTATATGTGACCACCAGTTTTGCCACTTAGTAACTGTGCAACTTTAAGTAACACACAGAAGCTCCCCGGACTGCATTCCCCAATTGTAAATTGGAAGCAATGAACACCTATCTATCTTTTGGGATTGGCATTAAAGGAAACTGAAATAACATAGCTAAAATGCTTAGCATCAATCATGGCACATAGTGGCTGTTAAATAAATGCTACTCCCACCCCTTTTAGTTTCAAAGTTTCAAATTTCCTTTATATGGTGATCCTGATGCCCATTGTTTAGGTTTTGTAAGTGTTCAATAAATATTTATTGGGAGAGAGAGGAAGAAAGGAAGGAAAGAAGGAAGGGAGGGAAGGAGGGAGGGAGAGAAAAAGGAGGGAAGGAAAGAAGAAAGGAAAGGAGAAAGAAAGAAAGCTAGCTCACTTCACAGTTTTAGTCCACGAATCTCTTTTTTTATATTAGTAGTGGCATTCTTTCCGAATATGTTTGGTTGGTATATTTTATCTTAATGAGCTGAAAATAGAGCTAGGTGATTAAGACATCACCAAATTGCCATCCTTTTGGTCTGTTTATCACTTGTAAATACAATATATTATTTGTTTAGGAACATAAGGCCACAATATTTCAACTGACACTGCTGAAACTTGGTCTGGTCTTTTTATTTCTTTGTCCAGACATGCCCAGATTGTAGTACAAAACAGAATGTGTTGTCATGTTATCTAATCCCAACAACTACCAAAATTCAATAATCAGGATTCCTCTTACTGACTTATATAAGTAATGCTGTTTCTCTTCCACTGCTGCTGGTGTTACCTTGTTTGCAAAGATCTATCTTCCTTTTTTGATTTCTGTGAAAACAACCCATGACTGACTTGAAACAATGGTACACCTAACGGCTGTGTTCACTAGATGTAGCCTATCTTATGCTGCCATCTGCTGGTAATGTTGCTCAATCATGGAAATTAAAACCTACGTTAAACTATATAACCAGCTTATTATTAAATGGTAACGTTTTAGATGGGAGCTTATCTGAAAAAAAAAATTTCTGCTTTTATGATATGGAACAAAAAGGGCAAAGCCATTTTTAAAAATAATACTTCGTCCTGTTCAGAACTCTCTGATTCATTCAACCGGTCATTTTGCCAAAACTCATTAATATCTTATCTGTGCCAAGAACTCTAGAGAATCCATATCTCTACAGATAAGCAATAATGTTCCTTATTTAATAGGCTTTTATTTCCCAGAAGAAGAGTCACAATTAAAGGAAATAAATGTGGTAAATTATTCTACATCTTATAGTAGAAATCCAAATAAAAATATGTGGTAATTTCTTTTCAGATATAAGGTTTACAAAATCATGATGGAGGATAACCCTGGTTGGTAAGTGAACAAGCCTTCACCAGTGGTTCACCAAGACAGGAAAAAGGTGTCAAGAGGCAATATTATGAACAAAGACATAGACTTCTAAGGAAAGACATTTGGTTTTGGTGGCAGAAAGAGACGTTAATTTATTATTCCTTATAACTTGTTATGTTTGTGTTCTTAAAATTTTTTCAGGTATCAGGTGATAATCTCATTTTAATATAAGAAGAAACAGTGAAATGTACAAAACACTCTACTCAGCATATATAACTCATTTTTATCATTTGTACCACTATAAATACCTAAAAATATTTATTATGTTCCTCAGATTACCACTTCTGTCTTAATAAAGATTTCATATTATTGGAGCCCTGATAACTGGATTCCTGCAGTGCTAACTATAACAGGAGTTCTTTTCATGATGTGTCTCTATGCTGTTGCATGGTGCCTCTTCAAAGAGTAAGATTTGAATTGCTGCTTCTATTTAACTTTATTCATTAGTCATTAAGTCTACCAAAGATGTTTTTAAAGGCCACAGTGGAATCGGAGAGAAGAAATTGGGAGAAAATTAATTGAGCACCTATTACTTCTATGTTTTACAAATGTTAACCTTGCTGATAATCACAACAAAAGTGAGAGACAGGTCATAGCATCACTGTTTTAGATTTGGATACAGGATGTTAACCAAGAGCTTGTGGTTCAAAACCAATGCTCTTTCCCTATGAAATGGTTTTTCAAATTAAAACCATTTGTTTGTAAAAGATAGTAAACTAAGAAAGTGTAATAAGTGGGTTTAAAAGTCTATGTTATACTCATTTTCCACTCTCTAATGCATCTCTGATGTGATATCCTATATCATGGAACAGGATGTACAGATATGCCATTACCAAGAAGAGCTTCACAGAATTATATTGCTACACCACAGGATCTGTTAAACTAGGGGCTTCTCCCTAGTATTCCAATGCCGTCAACCATATTCATAGCTTTTTTTTCCCTTCTCAGTACTGAAATGGCATAGTAATCTCAAATATCTTTAGCATCTAAGGAGCTGATATTTTTTAATGGAAATTGTGTCAAAATAGTTTAAAGATATTATTTTCATTTTCATATGCAGAATAAATACTTATTAATTGGCATTTTGTTTAGATTGTATTTATTTATTTACTTACTTTCTTGTGCAGGGAGTGTTAACCAGGAAGCCCAATGCTATTTGATTAATATGAAAGCAGATAATTGATTTTGACAGTTTTGGAAATTTTAATAAAAAATAAACACTCAGTTTCTTTTTAAAAAACTTTATCTGCTTTTGTTCCTTTATAGTTCTCCTTCCTGTTCAAGATTTTTTCCCTACTGTCAGAAACATCAGCAGATTGATCTAAGTCTTACTACCAAGGAGCCTGGGCAAGTATCTAGGTAAAAGACAACTTAGTGCTTTAAAGAAAATTTTAGGCTTTAAGATTTGAGTCCTTAACACATCATTAAATTTCAAGTTTAGAGCCATAAAATACATACATCAATTATTTCAGATGCTGATAAAGCATTTGAAAAAATTCATGCATTTGTGATAAATGCTTTCAACAAAGTGGGGAGAGAGGGCACATACATAAGCATAATAAAGGCCATTTACAACAACTCCCGCAGCTACTGTTGTATTCAGTGGTGAAAACTGAAAGCTTTTCCTCTAAGATCAGGAAGAGTGCCCAATTTTACCACTTTTATTCAACATAGTACTGGAAGTCCTAGACACAGCAATTAGGAAGGAAAAATAAATGAAAATCACCCAAATTGGCAAGGATGAACTAAGACTGTCACTATTTGCAGGTAATATGATACTATATACAGAAAATCCTAAAGACTTCATGAAAACACTATTAGAATTAATAAATGAATTCAGTAAAGTTGCAGGATAAAAAATTGACATACAGAAATACATCGCATCTCTATATTCTAATAATTAACTAGCAGAAAGAGAAATAAAGAAAATAATTCCATTTACAATTGCATGAATAAGAATCAAATACTTAGAAATAAATTTAACTAAGAAGGTGAAACACCTGTACTCTGAAAACTATAGGATGTTGATGAAAGAAACTGAAGTTGACACAAATAAATAGAAAGATATGCCATTCTTATGGATTGGAAGAATTAATATTATAAAAATGTCCATATAACTAAAGCAATCTACAGATTCAATGCAATCCCTATAAAAAATAGTTTTCCCAGAGCTAGAACAAATAATCCTAAAATTTGTATGGAACAACAAATAGACCCCAAACAGCCAAAGCAATCTTGAGATAGAAAGGAAAACTAGTTGTATCACACTCCCTGATTTCAAACTATACTAGAAAACTATAATAGTCAAAACAGTGTGGTACTGGCACTAAATAGACACATAGGTCAACTGAACAGAATAGAGTCTAGAAATAACCCCCTACTTATATGGTCAGTTAATATCTGACAAAGGAAGCAAGAATATACAATGGGGAAAAAGTCTCTTCAATAAATGGTTTTGGGAAAATTGGACAGCTACATGCAAAAATTGAAACTGGACCACTTTCTTACATCATACAAAAATAAACTTCAAATGAGTTAAAGACCTAAAATATAAAATCTGAAACCATAAAACTCCTAAAAGAAAACAGGCAGTAGACTTGGACATAGGCCTTAGAAATTGTTTCTTGGATATGTCTCCCCAGGCCAGGGAAACAAAAGCAAAAATAATCAATTGGGACTGCATCAACCTAAAAAGCTTCTGCACAGCAAGGAAACCATTAATAAAACTAAAAGACAACCTACTGAATGGGACAAGATATTTGCAAATGATATATGATAAGGGATTAATATCTAAAACATATAAAGTACTTATATAGATCAACACCAAAAACACAAATAATCCAACTAAAAAATGGGCACAGGAACTGAATAGAAAATTTTCCAAAGTAGGCATACAGATGGTCAACAGACAGAGGAAAAGATGCTCAATATCACTAATCATCAGAGAAATGCAAATCAAAACCACAATGAGATATCATCTCATGACTGTCAGAATGGCTAGTATCAAAATGACAAGAAACAAGTAAGTGTTGACAAGGATGTGGAGAAAGAAAAGGAAACTCTCATGCTCTGTTGGTGGGAATGTAAACTGATGCAGTCATTATGGAAAACAGCAGGGAGGTTACTTAAAAATTAAAAATGGAAATACCTTATAGCTCAGAATTCTATTTCTGGGTATACACCTAAAAAAATGAAAACACAAATTGAAAAATATATAAACACACCTATATTTATCACAGCATTATCTACAATAGCTAAAAAATGGGAGTGACCTGAGTGTTCATCAATAGATTAATGGATAAAGATGAGATATCCATACACACACCCACGCACACACACATACACACAATGTGGTATATATATACATATGTATATATATACACACATACATACATACATATATATTATATAATATTATATATTATACTATATATAGTATTACTTAGCCATAAAGAAAAAGAAATTTTTTCATTTGTGACAATAGGGAAAGACCTAGTGGGTATTATGCTTAGTGAAATAAGCCAGACAGAAAAAGACTAATACCTCACGATTTTACTTACATTGTGCAAGCTAAAAAATAAAACAAATTAACAAATAAAAAAAGCAGAAGGAATAAATATACAATATATATTTGCCATAAATGTATGTCACAAATACAGAAAACAAACTAGTGGTTGCCAGAGGGAATGCAGGTTGGTGGAGGGGTGAAGTATGTGAAGGGGATTAAGAGGCACAAACTTCCATTATAAAACAACTCACAGTGATTAAAAGTACAACATAGGGAATATAGTCAATAATATTGTAGTAAAACTGGTGACAGATGGTAACTACACATTTTGTAGTTTATATCATTGTTGAATCATGATGTTGTACACTTGAAGCTAATATAATATTGCATGTCAACTATACTATCATAAAAAACCCTAATATTTATTGATCACCTAATGCTATCGCAGGCATGAGGACATAGGAGAGAGCAAAATCAGAGTCATAGATAAACATTAAGATCTACTACTGGTATTCTATTGCCAACTGTATAATGCTGTTACTATTTTCAAATTGTTTATTTAATGATGAGGAAACATAAATACTAAAGGAATGAGAACAAATAAACTTTTTCAAGAATCTAAGATGAAATGTATAAATTTGTTTTAGAACAGTATCAAGATCCACCATTTCAATCTAGAAGAAAATATACTATCTGAAAGTATTAATAATAAAAACATTCATTTTAACCTGTCCTTAAAAATGTAAAATCATTATGATTTATTATATAGGAGAAGCTATCACAGGCCTATTTAAAGCTTACTCATATATAGCATTACATAGTGTTTGTTTACTTACTTATTTATAAAATTAAAATATTGAATTATTTATTGCTTACACATATGAATCTAAAATATATTTTTAAAGATTAAAGAAATATTTACATTATTTATTTAATGTTTTTTATAGGCACAGAAACCTATTGAATAGTGACCAAAAACCAGACACAAAGCCAACCTTACTGCCTGGAAATCCTCAGGTAAGGGCAAAGAGTAAACCATGTCACAGGCATTGCAATAGCTATTCTTTCATTTTTCATAACATCCAGACAACAAAAAGTATTTGCAAGTAAATTATAGTGAACAGTAACTCACAAGGAGAAATGAAAGAATTTATGTAAATCACTTGAAAATGGAAATGGAAACTGAGGAAGAGCTAACATCAACTGAAGTGATTGACACTGGTGGTATCAGTAATAAATAATATTCAAAAGTTGATACATCTATGGAAGTATAAATTGATGGTGTATATTGGTGAGTGGGACAAATTTGATTGCTCTTTCTTTTCTTCCCTTTGAAGTCTGCCCAAATGCATAGATAATCTAGTGAGGTCTGGTGGCTAAGGTTGCCTATGACATCAAATCACCCTTACACCACTCAGGTATTCAAAATATATATACAACATGTTATATAGTGTTTTTCCATCACAATATTCACTTAGCATACATTTTATTTCAATATATTGAAACCAAAGCATACTGTTTTACTGAATTATAGTACTAATTTTTATGTGAAACTATTATCAGGCCTATGTCTTTGAATAGGTAAGATATTTCCCAGTTACACCAAAGTAATTATCACTTAAATCAGTTTAATCAAGATCCATTAATAGGTATTTATGCAACACTTAACTGTAGAGCCCACTTTGCAGATTACTTGGCAGAATTGAAAGAAGTATAAAACACGGTCTTCACTCATCAAGAGCCCATATTCCAGCTGGGAAAAGATGTAAGTAAAATATTGTGAGAAACCATGTATGGTAGTTTATTAATTCCTGTCCACATGTACACTACATACAAAAAGCTCCACAGGCATTTAGAGAACAGTGAGGTCCTTGTCAGACTAGTCAGAGGAATCTTTGTAG